TCAATCTGGAAGGTCAGATGCTTGAGGCACAAGGATGACAATTGTCCTTGGATGGTGCGGTTTGGATGTCGAGATGCTGGAGGCGAATGGACTGTGAGAAAGGCTGAGTTGGTGCATTCTTGTAGCAGTACGACTCAACCGACGGATCATCGCCATCTTGATGTCGACATGATATCTGAGGCCGTCAAACATTTGAAAACTATTCTATAAAATGGAATGTTATATACTAACCACCACGGTGTCCATCGCGTCAAACCACAGCTTGTACTGGAATAGCTGGTCACCATACTGACGACTGCTGGCCGAAAGCCATCGAAGACCACGTGGATGTGCATCCTCGGTGGCCGGTGCCCTCGTCTCTGAATCTCGAGGTGCCAGATGTGGGAATCGCTCCCACGCCCAGAACTGCAGTAGGGCGACCCATCCACCAAGGTCACCGGCTAGAGAAGTGCCGGTATGCGAAATGTGCAAAGTCGACCTACCCATCTCACGGTACAGATAGGATAAAACAGCAGCTCCCCAGGCGAATCCTCCAGCCCTCTCCCAATCCTCAATCAGAAGTAGGTACTGTAGGTGCACCGTAGATCCAGACCGATCCGGGAAAAGTACACCTCCAATCAGAGATAGAGCATAAGCTCGTGCAAACTGCTCTATAACCTCCTGTGATGCATCATCCGGCAGATGGCTGAATTCAACCCTCAGCCATGTAATCCTAACAACAGCGACCCCGCCTACAAGATCATAAGGAACCCGTCCTAACAGTCGCAAACAGATCGCCGACCACTCCTCATCCGGTATATCAACTACGACGGCATCACCGTCGATCGCCAAACCGGACAGTGTAACAACGTCCTCTAACGTGATCGTGATCTCACCACACGGTAGATGGAAGGTCGACGTCTCGGGTCGCCACCGCTCTACGAGCGCAGTAATCAAACTCGCATCGGGGTTCATAGGGACTAGGGGCACGACACTTAACAAGCCTGCCACTTCGAGATATGGCCGATAAAGCTCGTGGTAAGGTACTAAAATGGTCGTACCTCGAACATGGTAAGATCGATCACCAGCCTATAGTGCACAAAACTTATATTAATTCATCTTCATTCGTAATAATTCTAATTTCACCTAATTAATTCTAATCTGTAATCCTATTCTCTAACAGTACAGTTCAGTTCACCAACTAAAATAATCTAATTAGCTAATTAACTTTACATGAATAATTATCAAATACTTACCTCGTTTGTCCAAACAGAGTCGATACGATGTTGGCCATGTCCCCAAAGAAGTGTCGCATCGACCGGACCTGTATCAATTGTCGCCGGCGGTAATCTCATCGAATACGGATCCATAAGCCTAGGAACTGCAAAAACAAAGCAACAAACCATTAAAAAAAACACAAACCATTAAAAAAACATTCAAGCTGCCGACGAGAGCCTCACCGCGCAAACGGCTGCCACGACCTCGCCGGCCTCTCCCTCTGCCTCTGCCGGCGACTTCTTCTTCATCGGACGACATCTACGGGCGACAGCTGGCTGCGGTGGCGACCAACTCTGGGGCGGCGGCGACACGAACAGGGGCGGCGGAGCGTGGAGTGGAGGCGGCGGCGCCTGTAACTGGGGCGCTCTTGCTACCGTCAGCGGCGGCGGGGCCTGGCTCTGGGGCAGCGAGACCTGATAGAGCGGCGGCGGCGCTTTGAACTGGGGCGTTCTCGTCCTGGTCAGCGACGGCGGAGGAGGCTGTCGGGGAGAGGGGGGAAGCAGTGGGGGTGGAGGGGAGGAGGAGGCTGTCGGGGGAGAGGGGGGAAGAGTTGTGTGGTCAGGAGGAAGGAAAGAAAGGATAAGGCAGGTGGGTGGGGTGGGGTGGGGGGGATTGGGCGGGTTTTTTAAAATAAAAAGGAGTGGGGTGGCGGCGCCTTAGTCTCTGGCGCCGGCACCTAGGTCTGCTTGAAGAAAAAGACTAAGGTGGCGGCGCCTCAGTCTACAGCGCCAGAACCTAAAACTACGCTAAAAACACAATATTTTCGTCAATACTTTTTAATCCGCAATATTAGTGGTAATTTTAAAAAAAAAACAATATTTGTGTCAATAATCCGGAATCCGGATGGTTAGCAAGTTGCAACTATCATATTGTAGCAAGCTAGGTGTTGTTTGGTTTATGTGATTGTTTGGGTGAGATTGTGGATAGAGTACTTATGATGTCACATAAATTTTTGAATTGAAACGATTATATCACTTATTTTGAGTTAATGCAAGTCATATCATTGAAATTTCTTATGTGCACCTGGTATCACTTAATTTCACAGTTAACTATATTATGTTAAGGTTGACAGAAGTAGTCCTTGGACTTGTAAAAACATCATTTTTTTCAAATTTTATAATTAGTCTTTCTACTTGTGCAATAAATTCCTTGGGCTTGTAAAAAAATTATTTTTTATTGTTTTCTTGAAAATCTCTTTTGTAGGCTCTAATACCAACATAAAAACATCATCAAAGTTTGTCGAAGGTTGTAACTTAAAACCAAAGTATTATATCTTATTTTCTAGGTTTGTTGCTTACTTTTGTAGTTTTTCTAGTTTACTTATCACTTAATTGTTGTGTTCTCTCTTATTGTTCTAAATATTGTTCAATCACTTTTTTTTTTATGAAGGCGAATAGTGAATTAAAATAACAAAAAGAGTTCATTACAAATTCGGACACCAGGAGTGCGACGAATGAAAAGGAAAAGTAAGAGGAAGAGGAAGAGAAAAAACACTACCTGCAGCTAACTAATACCAAGAAAAAGAGAGTTTGACCCGCGATAAAGCCCCTGCTCCAAACAAGGGGAAGACAATAAACTGAAAGCAGAACCAGCCGCTCAAACGAACAAAATCAGCCCAACTCCCCAAACAAGCAGAAGCAGACCGTCGCCGACACAACATGCGAAGCAAAACTAAAGAAAAAGGCAGCCATGCCTGCTCCAGAAGGAAGCAACCAAGCGAAAGACTAGCCACTCACAAGGACGCCACAAAGCTCCTCCACATCGTCCATAGAGATCGAACATCCAGAAGAAGCGCCATGCCCAAACTAGCATCAGAGAGACTACAAAGCCGCCGACCCTAACTAATCTGATACAGGAACGCCTGAAGCCAAGTAGCAACAGAGTTGCGATCAGCTTTGCCTTCTGCTACAATCCACCTTGTAATGTTGTTAATGACTCTTACAGCAATACGATCCGGACTAGACGAGACATTAATGAAAATCCTTTGGTTGCGCTCTAACTAAGTGAACCAAAAGACACCATGAAAGGCACAGTATCTCACCCAGCCCTCAATGCTGTCCGGAATAGTAGCAGGCCAATCCTTTATGGTTGACTCAAGATTAGCTCCAACAGGGAGATTGTTAAACCTGCAACCCTTCTGAATCACGTTCCACACATGCCTGGTAAAGATGCAGTCAACCAGAATATGCCCAGCCGATTCTTCTTCCTTGCAACAGAGCTCACAACGATTAGCTAACTTCAAACCTCGCTTTTGTAAGACATCGAGGGTCAAGATCCTTTTATGCGCAACCATCCATACGAACACACAGATCTTTCCTAGAACAATCTTCCTCCAAACCGAAATAGAAGGGAAATGGGGAATCCCAGAGAACTTTTCCTCAATTACAGCCCTGTACATAGATTGAACTGTATAGCCCGTTTCCGGATTAGGCTGCCAAACAACTTTGTAAGGACTGTTAGCTTTGGAATGAAAATCATAAGAATTAGGAATTGAAAGTAAGTTCAACCTCTCTTGTTCAGCCCCCTTCTCATAACAACATTAATACTTAAATTAATAACTACATTGTCACCTGAGAGCTCCACGACGTCGCTGATCGTGGCTTCCGGATTCGAGGCAACGACAACAACTCGTGGTAAGGCGTCAGCGATGGTGAGATTTGGATTCCACCGGTCGAACCAAAGAGAGACGTCAACACCATTCCCTGGATCGATATGGGCGAACTTCCAGAAAAGTCTGCATTCCCTCATAAAGTTCACTCAGACAGAACTAGATCGACACCTGTTGTTGCATCCAGTTTGCCACTGAGAAATTCCGTTTGAGTATTTAATTTCGATAAGGGATCTCCACCATTTATCCCTGCTGACTGCATAGTTCCAGATCCACTTGCAGAGCATCGCACAGTTGAAAGAAGCAAGATCCACAATTCCCAACCCTCCTTTATCTTTATGCGTTTTGCACAGCTTCCACTCCACAAGTGGGGGTTTTCTTATTCCTAACCCCACTCCAAAGAAAGTCCCTTTGCATTCTTTCAAGATTGGAGATCACTCCTTTAGGAGCTTTGAACAACGAGAAGTCATACACTATGAGGCTTGACAGGACAAATTTCAGCAATATCAACCTTCCCCCAATTGAAAGATGTCTGTTGCTCCATCTTTGAAGTCTCTTTTGATAGTTATTCACAATCGAATCCCAGAAAGTTCTACAATTCAGCTTCGCCCAAGCAGGTATCCGAGATACTTAGGAGGGTTAGAGCTCCATTTGCAGCAAATTATGTCAGCGAAGAACTCGGGTTCAGGAACATCTCCCACTGTATATAGCACCGTTTTATCCAGATTAATTTTCAATATAGTTACAGCCTGAAAACACGCGAGAGTGGCTGTAACATGAAGAATTTGCTCATGAAAACACGCGAGACTGTCTTATTTTTTCTGATTGTGTTCTATTTCTCCTTCTTTGATCTTGATGTATTAATAGTCGATTAGAATAAATCGGTGATCCGTGTCTTTCCAGGTCTTCATCACTTTTGATTACAACGATTTTTGCTCTTATCACTTTTGCCTTAAGTGGTTAATAGAAAATATGTATATTGTGGAAAATACTAATAAGGGGTTGTTTGGAAGTTGTGATTATTCAAATTGATGTATTGAATCAATTAGTATATTATCATTTCATGTATTGAATCAATTGATGTTTAGGCAAATATATAGATTGTGTTTTGTTGTAATTGAGGGAAAATTCGATTATTTTGTAAGCAAGTTTTGCAATACAGTGAGATTTCAGAGGAGACTCGTTCAATCAAAGTGAAAAACGGCCAAACCAAACCCGAGTCGGAGATGGAGTCCGAGCAAGGAAAGGAGCAATAGAAAGTTGCAGATTTTTTCTGCTATTTATGAGCGCGGGTTAGTAGCTCTATTTGTGTTTGTGTTTGTGTTTGTGTTTGTAGAGACCAGAGAATAAAGGAAGGAAACTCATGGGACCGTTGGGAGTCTGCAGTGGAGGAATCGCTAAGCCGCCGCGGCGGTCAGATTCAGAAGATCTGTTCAGGAGATTGCCGGATGAGATCGTTCTGGATATCCTTTCCCGGTTGGGAACGGTGAATGAAACGGCGAGATGCGGCAGCCTCGGGAAACGTTGGAGGGGTATATGTCGATTGATTGACGGTGGGGTTCTGGATTTCGACAAATCGTTGGACCTACTGAGGAGCACCATCCCAAAGACGCCGACTTTGGAGATTTCGAAGGAAGCCCAACTTCGATTCGCGAATGCGGTGAATCAAGCCCTGAGCTGGCATCGGTCCGAAACTCTGGATGCTTTGAGAATAGCGTTCGATTTGTACGGATTGGGAGAGGAAGCCTGGAAGTGGATCGAATTCGGGTTGAAGAAGAGAGTTAAAGAGCTGAGATTGCTGTCTTGCTTCTCCTACTCTGGAGACCATCGCATCCCTCTGCCACTTTTGACACCTGAATTTCTGGGTACACAGGATCTCAGCCGGCTGGAGGTCTTGGAGCTGGAGGGCTTGTCGATAATTACCCAAGAAACTGTGGACTACATTTTCTCCCACTGCCACTCCCTGAAACGCTGGGTTCTCCGCAATTCCTGTTTTAGAGGTGAAGTAGTTAGAGTTTCCAACGTTGAGAAACTGCAGTACTTGGAGTTCACCCGCCTATATTTTGCCCGCAGGATAGAACTGATGTCTGCTCCAAATCTTCATACTGTCAAGTTCACAGGGAATGCAACAATCTGTTTCGGGGACCAACTTCCTCAACTTCTGGAGGCATCCTTTTGTGGTGCTCTCAAGGCCTCAGATTACTCCCTCCCTTGGCCTCCCTCTCAATTTTGCAGGTATGCACCACGGTTAGAGCGTCTCACACTCGAGCTCCGTATGTCCAACTTCTTCAATGCTTCTCGGGGACGATTGGATTGGTTGACATTTGAGAACCTCAGAGTCTTGGATTTGGTCATGTATTCTAGCTCTTCAAGTTTCTTAGCGTGCACCATGCCTCTAAGAGCGGCTCCAATGTTGCGGGAATTGTCCATATGGTTCAGTATTCCAGATTACTTGAAGAAAGCCTGGGAGCCAAGCGACTTGAGTGCTGGGTCAACATGGTGGGAGCATCACTCTCTTGAGGTGCTTAAGCTGTATGGGGTGCATCAAACATCAAAATTGGATGAGCCAAGATTCAGGCGGCCTGGACGTGAATCTCACGATGCTCGCGTACTTTGCCTTGAGGTTGCTGCTCACATCATCATCAACTCCCCTTCCTTGAATGAGGTTCTTATCGACACCCGCCACAAAAATTTAATGTTCACTTCTACTGAGTGCAGGCCTCCATGTCAGATTGATATCGATACCCGTGAAGCGAGAATGGAGTTGGAAACCCAACTCCAAGGCCGCTCAGCCAGCCCTCATATTCACTACACTTATCGGTAGTATAATATATACGTATGTATCTATCATATTTTGATGTAATGCTTGATTAAGGATTTGCTATGCTGACCCGAGATGTTATTATGGATAAACTCTTCAAAACAAGTTATCTTATATTTTTCACAACAAAGCTTCTTCCTTCGTTCTCTTTGATCATAGTAATCTCATTTCCCCTCCAGTATACAAATCTTTTCTTTCATATTGCTGCTCTTAGTTTTTGGTGGATACTTTGGAGGACTATATTCTATTGTTTTGACTTAGCAATTAAGGTTCACTGGTCCCTCTTTTATAAGATACTATGGCTGGGTGCATGGATTTCTTACATCATGGTTGCATTATAGGACTGAATTTCCTATTATATTAGTGTCACTATTCACCATTCCACAATTTTTGAAGATAATGAATCTCCACCTCAAGTAATCTGCTGCAGAGTTGAAAGATTAATAGCAGATGACTGATTAGTGCAGGGAAGGTCGACAGAACAGCTGGGGAGACCTGGCTAAACTCTGTGCAGAAAGAGCCACTCTCCACTCAGTGCAGTTTGTAATTCGTCACATGCCACGGTTTGTTGCTGCAGAAGATGAGAGGAAGGGTAGCATGCCTGTTGATGATGATGTGGTTGTGGTGATCCAGTGGGTGTACTGTTGGAATTTGCAGCAGCTCTCATAGCTTGTTTGAACCATGACAAGTAGTACTTGTGTTGCATGTGTGAATTCAAATGGGTTTGCTGCTGTTGGAAAATGCAGGCTCCAATACCAATTCGAACAGCCTTTGGTGAATCAAGAATGGCGCTAAACAGAGTCTACTGAGTTCGATTCCAACAATTTGTCGCAGCCCGTTTAGAGGTTTTGCTGGAGGGCAGCAGCGTGATGTAGTCTTGTGCGAATAGTAGGTTTTGTGTAGTTCCCGCTTGTTTGTTGCCTTGCTCGTTTTTTCCTGTCTTTCCCTTTTCTGTTTTGTGTAGCAGGCTTTGTTTAAACAAAAAGAAATAAGTAATGCAGGGTAATCTCAAACACCTGCTCTGTTTCCTCTAAATATATGTTTCTAATACAACGTTTTTGTTTAGCCATATTGGAGATTTCATATGATTAGTGATGAAGCAAATTCTTGATTCATTGGGAGAGTTTGTAACGAACGGAACGAGAGATGAAGGACAGACAGAAAGGCGCAAAAACAAAGTAGCAGTGGGGACTGAAAAAGGACTTGCTCTGCATTATATTCATACTACTATTTATCGAAACTAAGGAACCATTGCCCAGTTTGAGTTCCTCCAATGGCGGAAAACAAACATGATACAGGCTCTCTCACTAACTACAAAACGCTAATACTCTCTTATCACTGGCAAAACAAATCCTTTTAAGGCTTCAGTCGAACACCACAAGCTTCTTGTACTCCTCCCCAGCAATGGCTAACCCCATCACATCCTCTGGATTCACTATCCCACCTCCATCCATGAACATCGTCAGCAAATTCTTCGAGAACCCACTCACCAGCGCCACCCCATTCTGTGTTCCCACCACCGGTGTGGCCGAAGAGTCCCTCAGATTCCAGAACACGATCTCCGGCACCCTGCTGTACCCCTTCTCCCCGAACTTCCTCTGTATCGCCTGATAATCCGTTTCCCAACTCCTTGGCTGCAGCACTTCCTCCTCCTCCACCTCAGATCCTCCGAAGCCACCACCACCACCGCCATAGATTGGGAAGTGGCCGCCATATGGTGCATAGTGGCGGTGGGGATAGGGGTTCGCATATGCCTGGTGGAACTCCATGTCGCTGAACACGAACACCCGCTTTATCAACTGATCCTCCGTCAGGTTGTTTGCAACCGCCGTATCCAGAATTTTGTCGAACACCTTGTAGAAATTGGTGCTCATCCCCCACTCCATCCTCCTGATGAATTCAGTCTTCTCCTGGAGCGTCTCCCCCTGGACCATATGGAGCTCCGGTTTTTCACTGAAAGTGATCACTTTCCCTTTCCACGGCTCCTCGCTTAGCTCCGAAACCAGCAGCCCAAGTGCCACGCAAACCTCCATTGGAGTCCCGGACATGCTACCTGACACATCGCAAACGGCAATGCAGTTGCTCAGCTTGCCTTTCTTCGACATGTCCTCCACCACCCTCGCCCACTGAAGCTCCGCCACGGCCCCTCCATCGCTGTCGTCGTTCAGCTGGGCGATGATCTCGTGGGGGAGCAACGCCCCTGCTGCGATCTTCGCCTTGCCGGCCTTCACTTTCTCCAGATACTCCTCGAACCTCTCCTTGTCGTGCTTGACGAACAGATCCTTGTAGTTCTTCATAGCCACCGATGGAACTCGACCGTAAGGAAGAGAATTCCAGTTTCGTGCGCTCATGTAAACCTCCGGAATCTGGAGGGCTTTGCGGAGAGGGACGAGGATTTCCTTTCGAAGCCTATCTCGCACGCGGTAAGCGTAGTGGGATTCTTCCGCGGCTTCGTACTCCTTATCGCTCTCCTTGGGGAACATCCGGCGAGCGATTGCCTCGCAGATTAGCAAGGATTTGTCATAGGAGGAGTCGATCGAAGGGCACCACTTCGCCGCCAGAGTGATCTTCGAGTAATCCTTCGATTTCAGGGCCGCCATATCAGATTTCAGCAAATCTGCAAAGAGATCTGCAATCGAATCGAACAGGAGCCTGTAATTGGGATCGGAATTGTACTTCTTCAACGCCTTAGCCGCTTTAGCAATCTCTCGCTCCTTGCGCAGCGCTCTCGCCGTTTCCTTGTCGATCGGCTTGGCAGAGGCCTCGTCTCCGTCGCCGGGTTTCTTCGACTTCTTCGCCTTCTTGATGGTTCGAAGATCAGCTTCCTCATCCTCTGGTTCTTCTTCTCCCGCCTCCGAATTTTCGTCGTCCTCGTCGTTATACAAGTGCGGGAATCTCCTCCTCCTCTTGGCCATTGCCCTGGCCGTTCGTTCCTCTTGTCTTTCCTCCTTGGCTTTCTTCCTCACTTCGAGGCCTTCGAGGATCCGGAACAGAATCTCGACGAAATCCTTGAAATAGCCGAATTCCGCCAAAGCCCTAGCGTTGAGAGCGAGTGTTTTCGGGTGGTGGCTGTAGAGCCAGAGCGCCGCCGCGTAGAACCCTTCTTTGTCCGACTTGCCGGTTCCTCTGACTCCTCGCAGATTGCAGATCAGCTTGAGCGCAGTGAGGGGATCGTGAGCCCAGGCCAGGTTGAGCCGATCGATCAATTTGTCGGCGGGAGTGTTGGGGACTATGTGGAAGAAGAAGTCGAGGCAGGGGTTGCCGGTGGAGAGGAAGGTGGAGGAGCATTGTTCCGTCAAACCCATGGGCGGCTCGCCGGTCAATTCCAGCGCCTGGGTTTTGACGGCGATGGATTCGATCGAAGTTTCGGAGGATGGAACGGGAACAATGGTTTGGGGCTGATCAACGGACGTCATCATCGCTCCGGCGATTGATGGAGGGCCGAGGATCTTCGTCGACGTTGTCATGATGGATGGAGACGGCGGTGGTGGGTCTCAAGACTCGAGAAGTGTTTAGGGTTTATTAACCCGAAAAGGTAAAAAGAAAATTGGACTTTTCCTTTCTTTTTTCTTTTTTGAGGATGAATGAAAAGGTGGACTTCCTTTCTAATCTATTAATACTGCCGAGCAAGCGGTGGAGCCTTTTTAATAGGTTTTATTCGCAAATTAAATTAATTTATTCCTTTTTCTGATTTCTTTTTCGGATCTTTTATTTATTTTCAAAGATTTGGGACGGTCCTGGATTTTCGTTATGATCTGTAGAGGAAATTAATATTTAGAAAATAAATAACTACACACACTCCTTCGCGCCCAAGTTTCTTTCTAACCTTGCACACCAAGTTATACCAAAATAGGGATTATAAATAATTATATAAGTCGGAAAACTTTAAAATCAGTCACTAAACTTTGGGTTGTTTGAGTGAGAGATTTCAATCAAAAGTCCTTCATTCAGTCGAATTTCGTCCAAATTCTTCGTTTGGTAAGATGATAATAAAATAAGAGGTTTTGAGGTCAGAATTTTGATAATTGACACTTGTTAGATTTTCAAAATAATTGCTCCCTTTCAGCTATTTTGAATTCAAATACGGTCAATATGTAATCAATCATTAGTGTTGATTTCATAAGCTATGTAGCATAATAGGGTTACTCCAAACCCTTAGGTATATACAAATTGACGGAATGTATTATAAGGTTAAGCTTGATATCATTGACTCTAGAGAGTTTCAACTTTCTCATGGAATACCAAGTAAAAACTCTGGTGTGTTATTTCTATTATGTTTGATTTGTTTTCAATGGCTTTATCCGGATTTGTGGAAAATGCGGGTAAATTCCCTGAATATTTTTTTTTAATTTACCACGAATATAGTGGTTTGAAAACTATTTACAAGAATATTGTGTTTTTTTATATGTTGAAAGCGCTGAAGCCTTAGACTGAGGCGCTGCCGCTAGGTGTTTTTTTAAAAACAAAACACAGCGGCGCCGCCCCAGACTGGGGCTTTGTCGCTTTTAAGAAGGTAAAAGCGTCGGCGCCCCAGACTGGGGCTTTGTCGCTGCCATTTTTTCCCACTCCAGCACCACCCAATCACCATATATACACTGCACCTTTCCTTCGGTTCTTCATCACCAAAAACTGAAAGAAGTTCTGAAAGAAGCTCTGGTGTTGCTGGGAAGATGGCTAATAACAGGTAAGAGTCGTAAATTTTTTTTCCATGTATTCATCATAATGATTTTGTCCAGTTAGTAATTAGTGAGTTTGTTTTTAATGTAGTGGTTTTAGAAGATTTGAACTAGCTGTTCGGTGGCGATCAGAGAAAGTAGAAGACAATTTGGGTGTCCATTTTGTTGGTGGTGTAAGTTTCCAGATGACTATTCCATCCAGGGTGAACGATCAGAAACTTTGTGATCATCTAATTCGGAGCATACGGATTAGAGACGAAACAATACAAGATAGTGTTGTGATTACAGGTTTCACCTACTGTCTTCCAGAATGGCAGAATGGTGTTTTATTTCATTATGCAATGCCTATTGTCGATGATGATAGCTTAAATGTACTTTGGAATTTTATGTCCCAAAATCCTTATTGTTTGGGTGCTGAGATACATGCTGAGCTCAGTGAGGATCGGGATGGAGAGGAAGACGATGATGACGGTGATGACACATGGAGCATGCCATCCGATCATGATTATGATGACGGTGATGATGGAGATGAGGAAGACGATGATGATGAGGAGGAGGAGGAGGACGACGGGGAGGGAGGAGAACTACCTAATTATCCTCCATATTTTTACTTGCAGGGTAATGAAGAGGACGAGGAATTATCATATGCTGATTCATATGGCGTAATTCCAGGGTCTACTGTTGGTGGTTTTGATGGATAATTCTACAAGGGGCAGATATTTCACTCGAAACAAGCTGCACAGGTGGCGATTAAACACTATGCACTACAACGCAACTTTCAGTATAACGTGGTGGAGTCGTCACCTTCAATCTGGAAGATCAGATGTTTGATGCACAAGGAGGACAAATGTCCTTGGATGGTGCGGTTTGGATGTCGAGATGTGGGAGGCGATTGGAGCGTGAGAAAGGTCGAGTTGGTGCATACTTGTAGCAGTACGACTCAACCGACGGATCATCGCCATCTTGATGTCGACGTGATATCTGAGGCCGTCAAACATTTGGTACGTGCCCAACCAAATCTGAGTGTTCTAACTGTGCAAGCCGAGTTGAAAGATAAGTAATTTAATATGCAAGTTACTTACAAGAAGGCTTGGTATGGGAAACAAAGAGCATTGGAGAAGTTGCATGGAAATTGGGAAGAATCCTATGATTTTTTGCAAACATTCTTGCGGGTGGTCAAGAGAAAAATGCCAACATCGGTGATTGATTGGGTAAGAGTTCCTTCGACTCAACCAGGTCATTCGATATTTCAGCGAGTATTTTGGGCTTATGGACCTTGTATAGATGGATTCAAGAATTGTCCAGGCGTCATGGTTGTTGATGGGACATTTCTTACTGGGAAGTATAAAGGAGTGCTACTCATGGCGAGCTCATTTGATGGTCGGAAGAAGATTTTTCCAATTGCATTTGCCATAGTGGAGAGTGAGAATACTGATAGTTGGCCATGGTTCATAATTCACGTTCAGGGTTTGACTGATCGAAATGATTTATGCATCATCTCAGATAGACATGCAGGACTCTATGAAGCCATGAATAACATCGGAAGAGGTTGGGAGTGGAGGTGGTGCATGCAAGCAATTTGCAAAGGAAGACTAAAAGCAGAATTATGTATAAGGAACTATTTCGAGTCGGTAAGCCTTCTTCAATTAATTATTTATTTTTAGGTAATTTTGTCATGAATTCATCTAACCCGTGTGGTTGATTATTTTGTTAGCCGGAGAAAAACGCTTGGAGAAGTTCGATCGTCAAGTTGAGCAATTTAAGAAGGTGGCCACTGATAGAAATATTTCATGTGATAACTGGGTGGACCAACATCAGATTCGTTGGAGTTTAGCACATGATAACTACAATGGTGGGCGTCGTTGGTCTATCCTGACATCCAACATGGCAGAAAGCATCAATGGTGTTTTCAAAGGTATTCGTGCACTTCCTATAGCTTCTCTTGTGCAACATACCTATTGGAGATTGGTGGAGAAATTCGATAAGTACAGGTTGGAGACAGGAGCAGAAATTAGAAATGGTCCTTCACAGTACTCCACCAAGTGCGAAGAACTGATGAAGCCGTGGTCACAAAAGGCAGTTGGGCATTCTGTGACAGCTCTTGATCGACGTCAAGGCATCTATGTAGTTCAGAATCCTCCCAACAATTTCAACATGACGGGGTCAAACACACTCACAGTGCACTTTGACGACCCCAACAGGATGTCGGCGATCACTAAAACCTATAGTTGTAACCCCTGCCGCCAACTGGTCAGCATACTCCGCTAACTGGTCATATGATAGCCCTCCTGCTCTCATCCCATCACGTAAACCCTGCTCAACGGACTCCATGCAGTCAGTGGCGGATACATGCATGGTTAGGGGTGTCCCGGGACACCCCTAAAATTTGGAAACACGATTATTCAACCTACGATAGTAATTTGCGTATGAGAAAAAAAATATTTAAATGGTAGTGGGACACCTTTAAAATTTGGGAAAATGATTATCTAATCTCCCGTAGTTGTTTGAGTATTGGTATAAATAATATTTAAGTAGTAGTTTATGCGATTTAAATTTGGGACACTGCCACTATTAGTTAATATATTTTCAATTACGCTACAACTCATTTGTTATTGTGTTTTAGATACAAATATAATAGTAAAATATTATTCTTATCTCAAATTATTTTCAAAACCTAACGATTAAACTCAATTACGGGATATCCTAGTCTAGTAAGATATGTCGAGAGTGCATTTTATCATTTGATGAAACACGTCTTAAATTTTAATGAAACTTTATTAGTTAGATATTTTCATATTTAATAATTATTTAATTTAATTCTAATATTTAATATAATTTTTTATAGAGGACACCCCTACGTAGAATTCCTGGATCCGCCACTGCATGCAGTCGTACTGCAATTTAAATGGAAAATATCAGAAATTCTACACATCTAAAAACAATTAAAACACAAACTTTAATTACTAAAAAAACTCACCGCTGCATTCAGTGCAGCAACTCTCCGTGTGCCTGAACGTCTAGTGACATCTCTATACCACTCTTGATGCTCCGAGTGGTAAGCTAATTCTACGTCACTGTAGCTCGTCTGCGCTACGAACTCATGTCGACGGTTCCACAACTCAATCAACTCGCTGGCTGCCTGTATGAACTGCTGGCCACATGATGGCCCATGCTTTCCTTGACGAAGAAAAAATCTAATCTCAGCCGCGGAATGTGGAGGATGAGGCCGGTCCTGAATCATCCCAAATTGTCCTAGCACGCGATCTGGATGATGCCACGTCTGCGATGAGAAGCAGATCAGCGGAACTACTGCTCGAAACGTGTGGGACTGGATCACAGTACCGCTGTAGTCCTGACCTCTATGAAAGTACGGACGCCACTGCACACAAGGATTGGTCACATAATTACTCCTAAATCTATAACAAATCAATTAAAACTATTCTATAAAACGAAATGGTATATACTAACCACGAATGTCGTGCACTCGTCAAACCACAGCTTGTACAAGCAGAACTGATCTCCATGCTGATGGGTTTGGGCCGGAAGCCACCGAAGGCCACGTGGCACTGCGTCCTGAGTAATCTGCGCACCCGTCACCGCATGTAGTGGTGATGTATGAGGAAACCGCT